TCTCTCTCTCTCTCTCTCTCTCTCTCTCTCTCTCTCTCTCTCTCTCTCTCTCTCTCTCTCTCTCTCCCTCTTCTCTCAGGAGAGTTCTCAGCCCATAGATAGTTAGGCTAAAACATAATTCAATAATAAAACAAAAAGAATATATAATAAAAATGAAAAAACTAAACATAACAAAAAATACTAATTGAGAAGTAAAATACTGTATTGTAGATAAAATACAGGAGATAAATAGTAAATGGTATTCGTGACAAAAACTGATCAAGTGCATTGTGTGGATAAACAACTCACCAAATAATGCCACTCCTTATTGACATAGTATATACATGTTATGCAACGGCCGTCACCTGAATAGTTGTCGGCGTGTTTCATGAAACGAGATCCTAAGCACGTAAATCACTATTAATTTACATTGCATTTCAATCACTAAATTTTATGACTAAATTATTAATGTGTGTTAAAGTAAGTTCTAGCATAATTAGTTTAAAATATAATGTATTAATATATATTTATAAATTAATTAAAGTTTATATTGGAAACAATAAATGAACTAGATAGTTTTAAACGTGTATTAGATATTACAAAGTTAACTAAAAGTATAGAATTGTGTATTAATTTAGTGTTAATTAAGATACAATTTAATGCTAACCATTGCCGGGAAAACAGGCGACCATCGCTGGCGTACGACTATTTATATTATAAACACCTAAAAGTCCATTATTGTTCATTTTGTTGCACTTAAACACAATTAAATCAAATGTTTTGATGAGATCGTGAATGTGTCGGCAATTTGTCTCATTTCCTGTTATCCAATATATTAAGTCTCCTCTAATATTGCGAACCGTATTGTTATTAAATAGCATTCCGTACTTGAATTCTGTCTAAATATTTATTTAATTAATAATTTATTCAATTGAAAGAAAGAAAGAAAGAAAGAGAGAGAGAGAGAGAGAGAGAGAGAGTAAATTCTTTATTAAATCTTAATTAATTTAAAACAAATTAAAAATCTATCTTGCTAATAGAGTATATTGAGTTAGATTATGATTACTTGATTGTATAGATTGTGGACTTCGTTGTGAACATAAGGTGAGACTTCATCCAAGAAGTTGTCGATAACACACATTCCGACACAATTCAATTGTTGGACAACTTCTGCACAAATTTTGTCTAACTTTGATTGCGATATGAATTGACTGCGATTGGCGTCAAACCTATCGTAAACATCTAAAGCCGTGTTTTTCATGCGAGAGTTAATTGCTTTAAATGTCATTTCGCTATTAATACTGTTATCGTTGTACTGAACCCCAGTCTGTATGTCCTCCAGGGGTGGTATACTAAAGGTGTGGACAATTGACGGGTCGTCTACAGAGTTTAGATCACTGAAGCTTTAAATGTCATTTCGCTATTAATACTGTTATCGTTGTACTGAACCCCAGTCTGTATGTCCTCCAGGGGTGGTATACTAAAGGTGTGGACAATTGACGGGTCGTCTACAGAGTTTAGATCACTGAGTGGTCCGCAATCGTTGTCGTCGCAGATGGAGGTAAATGTTTTGCGACACTCGCCGTACGGCTCGTAACCGTGGATCAAATGGTCGATCGCGGAGGCAGTGGTGGACACAACCGACACTACTTCCCAGCGTAGGTAACTGTGGTTACTACCGTACAAAAGGCGTTTTGTTAAACTTAGGTAATATGCCTGCCTGTCCCTCAAACAACAGCAGTTACTTAAATATATAAAGCGCCGATTTGGCACTTTATTATCATATATTATGTTTACTTTTTATTACTTTTATATATTATTTATAATATATTTATACGTCATTCACGAGAATTAGCCACAAAACTAAAGAGAAAAAAGTTTTGTTTGTATAAAATTTGTTTTAAATATTTATATTTTAGTATTTTCTACTTTTTCATATAATATTCATATTAATACATCACAAATGTGTATAAAATTTTATATATCTACTGAATGTTTATATCATGTGATAATATATGCATTCATATAAATTGCAATTTCATTTTATATATGAATGCATAATATTATTGACCGAAAAAATATTGGCTCATAATTTCCAAGGATTAGGAGACAGTGTTTTGGGAGTTATTTCACATAAAAGTAAAATAAAATATTCTGCAAAAAAACTGAACGACAATTTGAAGGCCTATTCAATAGCTTCGAGAAAGTAATAAAAATAAATAATTTGTGTAAAAATTACTTTTAAAAACTATCTAAAAGTTTAGAGAGAGAGAGAGAGAGAGAGAGAGAGAGAGAGAGAGAGAGAGAGAGAGAGAGAGAAATATNCTCATACTATGGGAGATGAGAGTGGGAGAGAGAGAGAGAGAGAGAGAGAGAGAGAGAGAGACTGAAATATTTAATTACTTTTAATGTAATATGTTTTTATTTTGCATCTCTTTGATATCTCTATCATAGTGTATATGACTTATAATAAACCGATTTGTGTGTGTATTACGTGTGTTTTGCCACACATTTCAAAAAGTTTGTTTGCATTTATAACTAACTTTTTTTTATTAACTAACATATTATATACTGAATCCACAGAGTATATTATATTCAATATCAGAATATACTGTATGTGATATTTAAACACTAAAAATCGTATAAATTTTTATTTAAAAAAAACTTTTTTAATATCAATTCTATAAAAACGGCATAAATTAAACGTGTAATCAATTTATTGCCCAATATTTTAAGGTTTTATAAGAGAGGGACGTGTAATGCAAACTAAAGTATGCAAAAACTATTGCCCTTAAAATACATTAAACTAGTTTAAAATGTTATTTTTCATAAGATTTTTGATTACATAAGCCAACGACTGATATAATGGCATATTAAGCACCTGGAACAATTAGTGGCACCCCCACCCCCTTTAACCTTATGGTACAGTACGTCAACCCCTTTGCTTACCAGATATGCTGTAGTAATGGTAAAAATTGCAATTAAAAGTCAAATAAAATATGAAAAATATTTTATAAGGTATTTTCACTCATCAAATGACTGACAGCCTATCATTCATTGCTATATTTATCTGATTTGAATGCATATCAAGGATTGAGAAATAATATTAATGTTTGATTTTAGTTTCATTTATTCTTCGCTATAATATTCTTGATATAGTGTATGAAAGGCTACACATGTATTCATATAGTTTTTGTTCACATAAAGTTAGCAAAATAGTAAAAACAACATTTATATTTATATCACATGTGAAAAGAGTTATGGCACTTATCACTCAGACTTTGGCTCTCTCTCTCTCTCTCTCTCTCTCTCTCTCTTCACTCGGCATATATTTAATTAATTATTTAACTATTTTTAGAAAGATTTAACAAAAAATTAAAAGGCAAATCACATACACACATATTTTTAAATACCTGGATTAATTTTATTAAATCCACATTTTGTAAATGATAGTCAAATTCAAGGCTAGTTTACAGTGCAGTAAACGTTAATAAAATCATTGACAATTCACGACATACTGCACATATACGGCACGTATACACACTATTACAGAGAATACCGGGAGTTTGTTGTATAACATTTAAAACACTTGTTTAACGTGTCGTGATTTGAGTGGTAAAACCGTGGCCTAACAACAAAATTAACTAATTAATAGTGAGTAAAAATACATTAGTTATGATAAATTTGTCATAAAGAATTCTTGTCAGTAAATTTATATTTGTTTTACGTGCTTTATTTACAAATCCCACATTAAGTTTATAACTTGAAAAAAATTAACTAAACCAATTAGAATATGTCCCTGAACATTATGAAATTGATAAATTACCATCTTATAAGTTACTTTCTATGGGAATTAATTACTATTAATGCTAACCGCATATTAACTGAAACTGAAATCAGTAAAAATCAAACATGAGTTACACTTTTTTATACATATTTTACTAAAATTCAATACATTTACTATATAAAGTACTATATAAAGTACTTTATATACTGTATATCGAAATTACAATCAATAGTATTTCAATATCAAGTTTAAGGCAAAATATAATGTTTTTATGAAAGGTTTAGTTTATTTTGACGCTCATTAGACATGTGATAACACTTTTATAATCTATTGATCTTGATTATCTGTAATTAATAATCAATATATGAGCTGACATCTCATTAATTTACATTACTTTCTACCATCAGACAATTGTGGGTGTTTTGCAAGCACTCTCACAGGAAAGTATGTTTCAGTTAACCATATATTTAAAATTGATTGACCAGTACTGGACAACTGACCACATCTCGACCAAACGGCACCAATTATGATGACCCCGACCTTAATTGAGTTTTATTTATACTTAATGTCCGCCAATCATATATTTATGAATGTGTCTCTTCTGGAGGGAGGTATCGATGCCATCGCCGTCGACACTCGTAAATTTCAAATGATATTCGTATTCAAAGTAATTAATTATTGTAATTAACATATCAATAGGGCTAACATCTCGATTAATTAACTGATAACCATATACTGTATCATTATTAATTATTTCAAAATTTTCTATATTAATCTCCTGTAATGTTATTAACAATTTACATCTATGTAAAAAACTTTGTAAGACATTATATGGTATAATATGGCGTTATTATTACATTGTAATAGTCCTACTTGTTATATCATGTTTAATTAATATTCACATAAAATAGTGTGACTAAAAGCTTTTGCTATAAATAATATCTAAATAAAAGGGCCGACAGTTTTTGGTACTCGACGAAAGGGCAGCGATCATCAAAAAGGGAGAGACGGGTAAAGAGTTTGGCGAACAGTTGGCCGACGGCGTCGACGGCGCTATGATTTTACACAATGATTATTACGACGACTTCTTTCATCACGATTTTTTATTTTTATTTAAAGGTAACTTTAGTTTCATGTGAAATATATATTTTCAAGATACATTTATTTTTGATTTAACCAACTATATCATTTTAACCATCTGGTATTAACGCTGATATTAATTGTGGATTAAATACTTTACAAATGTATTATAATAAAACAATAGGTGACAATATTTGGCGATATGTTGTGTACCGGTTTGGCACCGATCAGCTAATAACGTACAGCATAGAGGGGATGGATATAAAATTGCAACAAATTCACCCCAAACTACCGGACAGTATTGACGGCGCCTTTTCCGACAAGAATTATATTTATTTATTTAATAATAGGATTCAATATAGGCTTAAAAATGATAATTTCCCGGTTCGTAGTATTACCAAGGTAATGATGGCAATATGATAAATTAATTGTTGCATATTTTGGTAGCGAACAGTGGCCGTGAGTGGGCTAACCATTCACCAAGAGCTGGATGGACTGATCCCGAGGAAAGAGGTGGTCATTTCTACCCTATTGGACCGATTAGTATACGAGACACTGGCTTTTGTCACACATGTGATGTGCAAACGATCTCAATATTATTGGTTATTATTGTATTCATTACTTATGACAGGAATTGTATTAATTGTTCACATGTTTGTACTGGTGTTGAGAGTCGGTTACAAACGGGTAGTCAATACAGTGACCCGCGCGGACAGCGCCGGCTCTTTTGTCATATGAAATGGTGTGATATTTTTAATTATATACAATATATACAATACTTTACATTATTTTTTCTGCATTTATTATTAACGTTATTTTGTAAATATTTAAAGCATTCATTTTTTTGTTTCTAGTTTATTCTGGTATTTATTTTTTTTGTTTACTTATATAATATAAGTTATATTATTTATAATTACTTCATTTGTTAATAAACTTGTGATATTTTTCTGTTTACACCTTAATTCAATTTATTAATTAAAATTTTATATTGCATATTAATTTATATTCATATGTAATTATTGTACAGTATCACCAATATCTCTCAGATAATACAACTATATAAAGTTAATTATAATTCAAATATAGATATTTTATTATAAAGACACGATTTATTAAAATCTTTATTAACCAAATATAATTTGAGATAATCATATTTTGCAATAAATTGTATTGATATATAAACATAATATTTATATCAGCATCTTATCAATTATAGTTAATGTAATATTAATATAGTATTAAATTTTATTAATATAATTATACATTTAATAAGGTTTGTAATTATTAAGTTATAACCAAGCACGATTCATTATTACAGTTTATTTTAATAATTTATAGAGACAGAGAAACAGTATTTAAACACTTACTAACTTTATTAATTATACCGTATTTAACAATTAAAATATACTTACGATTCTTAATAGAAATCAGTATTTTGTTGGATATTCCGTATATTTCTGGTTCTTTTAAATAATTAACCAAAAGTTCAAATTATAATATTAATTAAAACACACAATAATGTTTATAAACAATTATATTTATCAAAATAGTGTTGAAAGGTCTGTATCCAAACGAAGAATGAATTAAACTCAATATATATTAAATATTTTTATAACAAATTTCAATAACAAGTGTTTTGACAAAACAAACATAACTTTATTTCATTGCATGCATTGAATCACAACTCTTTTGGTTTTGATATTTATTTTTGTGCTTCACTTTAACTGTTGGGCTCTTATCAGTGAAACAAGTTATTAATATATGAAATATTTTTATATA